TGTTCATGCGCGTCAATGTAAGTTCCTTGTCCTTTGCCCTTGTATCGACCATTGCTCATTTAGAACACACAGGACCCCGAGATCCAAAAGGTAACTGGCAAGACTGACCCTGTGGAGGTGATGGCAGCGTTGAGAGAGATGAAGAATGCGATGTAAAGTATGGGAGTCAAGTTAGCGAGCGAATCTACTAGATCACATGTTGCGATATATCTCCGTAGAAAGCGTGTTTTCGTAAGAACCAAGGTTTCCGAGGCTGGACTGAATTACCAAGACAGAAAGGGGTATAGAGCCCACATAAACATGATCTGCCACATATTAACCCAGTCAAGACATTCATACTGGAAAATTGGGTATGTGTTCTAGAAGTTGATTCTCCCATTGACCTCGGCGATGGACCTATGGTATACGTCATAATCATGCCAAGCCCACTGTTCCCCAGCAAACAAAATTATAATGAAATTAGGTACCGTTTATATGTCCTATCCATACAAAAGATACCTCTCTTTGTTTGCGGCGCACCAAGCCCCGGTGGTGGGGCACAGCTACCCCCAGCTACCCGCCTTCTTTCATACCAACACCCCGGAGCTCGGACAACTCAACCATGACAGAGTGACCAACGGGGAAATTCCAGTAAACTTGCGCGATGGATAAGGCAGCTAAACATGATGTAAGTATTGATGGACCGGGGTATTGTAGTGACTGACCAATGCCATCATAGAACAATGGAGGGGCGAGCGATACGGAGGGTCAGAATCACCTGGAGGTAAGCAGTTTGCCCCCCATGATAGTTCCATACTAAGCGCAAGTGCTACCCAGGTCGTGTTCTATCCCGACTCCAACCACCGTCGCAAGTCCTCCCTTGTTACGATGGACAAGCCGAGGGTTCAACCGCACCCAGCTCAGGATGACACGATGACCGCCTGCTACGTCCACTCCCTCATTGCGAGCGAGTGGACATCACCCCCGCACCACCTGAAAGGTAGTAAAGACACGGAAGATGTGATTCAGACATTGGATGAGGACGAGACGAAACCCGTGGCAAAAACCAAAGGCGTTGAGCCAGAGGAAGTGGTTTCTGTGTTCGACCATGACAACAAACCAATACCCACGATCATTGAATCTCGACATCTCACGAAGAGACAGCTTTCAGATATGGCCTGGAATGTGCGCAAGCTATCCAAGAAACTGGGCAGCATCAAGCTCAAGCTTACCGTGAAGAATATCTTCATAGTAAGCAAGGCGCAGGACCAGTCGCTGGTAAGCCTGACTCGAAAGGTTACAAGGTGGCTGCTCTCCAAGGACCGGGACTCCCCGTATGTGGTCTATGTCGAGCGGCGGCTTGAGACGAATGCGGACTTCGGTGCGTTGCAACTGGTACAAGACGAGCCCTCCGCCGAGGGCCGGCTCAAGTACTGGGATCCTAAGCTTGCGCAAGAACAACCGCATTTATTCGATTTTGTGATCACGCTCGGCGGAGACGGAACTGTTCTATACACGAGCTGGCTGTTCCAGCGCATCGTGCCACCCGTGCTTTCCTTTGCGCTGGGCTCTCTGGGCTTCTTGACCAATTTCGACTTTGCAGATTACCAGAAGAGCCTCGATAGTGCTTTCCGGCATGGCGTTTTCGTCAGCCTCCGGCTACGGTTCGAATGCACCATCATGCGCAGCAAAGCGCGATTGAGAGACCCGCATGCGCGCTCTCTACCAGACCGTGACCTGGTAGAGGAACTGATCGGAGAGGAAGGGGAGGACACATTGACGCACACCCCAGATAAAGTGTTTGAGATTCTCAACGACGTAGTCCTCGACCGGGGGCCAAACCCAAGTATGTCTTCTGATTTCTGATTTCTGATTGCGATTCTTCGCTCCGCGTTATGCGTTGCGTTTCACGACAGAAACAGACACAGCTAACCAATCTTCACTAGCCATGTCTCAAATTGAACTCTTCGGGGACGACGAGCATTTCACCACCCTGCTCGCTGACGGAATCTGCATTGCTACCCCAACCGGATCGACTGCTTACAACCTCGCTGCTGGCGGCTCTCTTTCGCATCCGGAAAACCCCGTCATCCTTGTGACCGCCATCTGTGCCCACACGCTGTCCTTCCGACCGATTATTCTACCAGACACCATTGTCTTGCGCATGGGTGTGCCGTATGATGCGCGCACGAGTTCATGGGCTAGCTTTGATGGACGAGAGAGGTGAGTTTATTACATTTTTTTATAGTTGTTACATATGTCATGTCACTATTGGTTGGGTCTGTTAACTGACTAGCAAACCCCAGGGTCGAGTTACATCCCGGTGACTATGTTACCGTGTCAGCCTCAAGATATCCCTTTGCCAATGTCTTGCCTCCTGGTGGACAGGGTGAGGGCTGGGTGCATAGCATCTCCAAGACTTTGAATTGGAATTCGCGACAGAAGCAGAAGAGCTTCAAGTAGCTGGAGTGGGGAACGTGCTTCCTCGGCATGACCTTTGGGTCTTTCTCCCTCTTCTTCTTCCTCTTTGATGAGCATATTTGGTGTCTATTTGGTTTGATTGCTTGGGTTCTAGCCACTGGATGGTTCATTTTTGGGCGTACATGCTTTTATCCGAATCTACGAAAACGATATGACCTGGGATTAGCTATTAAAAATTAGAACAATACCATTTGTTATTCTTTTAGCTAATATTAATTAGCTATTCCCAGCCATTTGTTTTTTTTTTTTTTTGCCCACCTTTTTTTCCAAGTGGACACTCTTTTTTTTCGCTTGAAGCTGCGGCTCCGCTCCACCCTATAAAAGGCCATCGCCCGGCCCGAAATTTCTTCTTCCTCATCTTCCTCAACCAACTCGGTTTCGAAGTCTTAATGTTGGCTTTGGAACTCCGCTGTTGAGCCCGACAACTTTAAGAGTATATGTGAATAGAATCACATATACTCTTCTCTACTGACTTGGTAAGTTTGCTACTTTTTTCTTGCACTGCACTTCCCCCCCAGCCAACGGCCTCGCGCCGTTCGATGATGAAAATCTTCCTACATTCGCAGTTTCCACGCTAGCCGTCGCTTGAACCCAATCAAGGCGGCATTGAGCGGAATATCTTCCTTGGATGTCTGAGAACTATTTGGCTGTTCTTTTCATGAATTCTTTTCATTTCAACTTTGCAGTCGAGACGGTTGCTAATTGTCTCTCAGAAACAGGATCCCTTTTTGGTTACACCATTCGATCTTCGATATCATACATATACTCGCTTTGCAGCGTCAAGTGTCTGGCTCTATAGCTAGTTGCACTATTGCTGGAGGTGCTCTTCGCTGTTCGCTGCTTTGCACAGCTGAGCTCGGGAAGATATCTCGAGTGATGTGCTGTGTCGCGGTAGAAGTTGAACAGATAGAATATATATTATATCATCAAATGAATGGCAGTTTTGTCTACACCATGCAAGTCTCTTCCAATTAGATCATTTTGTAGTATCCCATAGTCAACCCCGTAGTTCGTCTCAGTATAAAAAGTAAAATCTCACAGGATTGCACCCGAGGGAGTTGTGCTCCGCCGTACCGCATCCACTTGTTGACCCCATACCTCCAAACCTCCCATAGATACCTCAACTTGACCAGACCTCAAGCTCTCAAATCAATATTTCTCGACTTTGATTCAAAGTACAACGCCATTCCCATGGCGGCACCACCTCGACATGCCACGATGCAATCCATCAGCAATGGCGGCACAGGCTCAGGGAGCGACAGACCACAGACACAGCAAACACAGCAAGCCCAGCTATCACAACAATCCCCTGGGCTACGTGTACCTTCCAATCGCAAGACCATCTACGACCGACACCTGAACCGGACTCGTAATGCAGAACTCAGCCGGGCGAGCTTCGCCTTTCTATTCGGGGAGATGGTCACATATGCTCAACGACGAGTAACAGGTATCCAAGATCTGGAGAAACGGTAAGAGACAACCCCCTGACTCAAACCTGAGACCTGGAATCCTCTCCCTAGCCCTCTCAGAAACCAATTCTCGCTACGTATCTACCAAGCAACCTGTAACCGTGACTAACGACCCCTCCATCCAGGTTAAACGAACAAGGCTACCCCCTCGGCCTCCGCCTCCTCGACCTTCTCTTCTACCGCTCAACCTCAACTTCCTCCTCAGCCCTCTCAAGTTCCTCAACCTCCTCTTCACCCCCAAACAGACCCCTTCGCATCATAACCCTGCTGCACCTGATCCACGGCCCGCTCTGGCGCCTCCTCTTCGGCCGCGCCGCAGATGCCCTCGAGCACTCCGTGTCCCCGGATACCCCCAACGAATACATGATCACCGATAACGACCCGATGGTCAACACATATATCAGTGCGCCCCGCGATATGAGCATGCTCAACTGCGCTGCCTATGTTGCCGGCATCATTGAGGGTGTCTGTGATGGATGTGGCTTTGAGACGAAGGTCTCGGCGCATAACCAGCCCACAGAGCTCTGGCCTAGTCGGACGGTGTTCTTGGTTCGCTTTGGGGATTCGGTTATGGAGAGGGAGAAGGTGCTCGAGAGGGCGGGTATTAAATAATGAATGAGCTTGCTTGAGGGTTACGGGGGTGTTTTGGCAGGCTACAGGCTGGGTTGGTGTGTTGCTTGTTAGCGTGATAGATCTCCGGCGTTTAAGATGCTCTAGGTGGTCGTGCAGCTCTTAGTCTGCGGCTCTTTGGTGGCATTCCCTTCACGAAGTCATGCAAGTACAAGTCTGGACGGTCGATCTAAGGAACTTTTTAGCAGTTCTTGCAATCTGCTGTGGATTATGTACAAAAGTCCTTGATTGTCGGCCAGCAAATATCATACAATACAATTCCTCCAGGAGAGGATATGCTATATTACGTACATGTACATACACAGAAGAGTATTGGCACATTGGTTGCTCGAAATTCAGATATCAAGAATCACATCCCACCATGCACCTTGTAGTAGACTGGCGCCATAACTCCAACATTCAAGTAGGATATCAACACTGTTCGCTTCACCACTGAGCCGATCATGAACTGTCCACCCGCCGACGTTTCTCCCGATCATCATAGGGCGACGGACTCCGTTTCCGCCTCTCCCTAGACCGACTGCGCTCAAAACGACCAGAGTCTCTATCGTCACGCTTGTCCCGCCTCGGCGAACGCGACCTGGACCTGCGCCGGGGTCGAACAACACTAGCATTCGCACCCGTCGGTCCACGATCCCCATCATCACCACCCCGACGATCAGGCATAAACCTCTCATCCGTAACATCCCCAGGCGGGCCATCCCTCCTCCTCCTGTTCTCCAACCCATCCCCAAACCTCCCCGTATCCTCAGACTTAAGATCCTTATAACGCGTGCGACCCTTCTTCCCAAGCTTCGTCATATCACGAACCTGCATATACTGCGGCAACGTATCACGATTGACATCATCCTCAAAGCGCGCACCCATAAGCTCCCGACGATCCAGACCCTCGGCCTCAAGATCTCCACGGAAGAAAGCACCCTTGTGGAAATACCGCTGCATAAAGCCCGTCTGTCCGCGCGTAGCATCACGGTCCTCCTTCTGCTGCGCGATGAACTCGCTATCTTCGCGCTCTCGTTCTTCAGCGGTAAGGTTCCGACGACGCTCGATCTCCTCGCGCTCTTTCTCGCTCGCTTCGATCGCTTCCCGGGATCGCTGCACGCGCTTCAGTTCACGTAGTGTCCATGCTGCCCGCTCGGCTTCCGGGTCCAGGCCGTCTGTGTCGTCGATGGCTTCTTCGTCTTCGGCTTCAACGAGCTCGTCGTAGTCCCAGGCGCGATTCGCGCTTGAGCGGGCTATCGCTTCTTTCTCCAGTTGGTCGCGGATTAGTTGGTCGGCTTTTTCTTGGCGTTGCGCCGCGCGTTGCGTTTCGGCTTCCGCCGCTCGTTCGGCGTCGGCTTGTGCTTGTGTCTTCCCGGCTAGTGAGGCTGCTGTGTTGCGCTGGTCTTTTTTGATGAAGGTTGGTCGGATGAGCATGCGGCGCGGTGCTTCATCTTCGGAACTGCTCTCTTCTTCGGAGCTTTCTTCCTCTTCTGATTCCTCTTCTTCTTCCTCTGCGTCGCTCTCAGGAGCGGTTGTGGAAACAGTAGGTTTTAAATCGTCGGTTGTAGGATGCGGTAATGCTGTCGGCGCGGGTGCGGGCTTGTCATCTTCTTCGTCTTCAGTGACGAATCCTTCCTCGTCGTCATCTTCTTCGACCTTTTGACCTGCTATCGCAGAGGCTGGGAATGAGCTCGCTTTGGGCGCTTTTGCTCGGCGCAGTGCTGCGGCTCGTCTGCGTCGCTCTTGTTCTCGTCGCACCTCCCGCTCCTCTTCGTCGTCTTCTTCCTCTTCCTCCTCCTCAGATGAGGGCTCCTCTGCGATAGCCTTTCCGGGGCGGTAGCGAGCAGGCTTAATGGGGTTTTTGGTCATTCCCCGGTGGGAGGAGGGGAGTGGAGGAGGCATTGTGGTCGGATGTGATGCGTGTAGAAGGAGGGTAGGTATCGGTTATGTAGAGGGATGTAGAGCTCTATTGCCCAGCTTGCAATTCAGAGCCAGAAAATTGCGCCAGGTCTGCTCTGTGGTATGGTGTGGTGTGGACTCGTTGAATTGACGTATCGGGCTGAAGCTTTTTTGGAGATTGATACGTCACGTGATGATATAGAAAAGCTGCAGAAGGGCAGAAGTGGTAATTGACTGCGTCAACTCAAGAGGTTGATTTATTGTATGTCGTTAATCTTTATCTCGGTGCAGCCTAGAACCGAGTTCTAAATTAATGCCGTATTCACATCGTATTGCCAGATACCCAGCTTCAAAACTCCACTTAGCTAATTCATACAATTTAATCACCACGTGACCACGCGTTTCCGCGACTCGCGTCGATCAACCTTCCTTATTCCCCGCCGTTTTCCAGCATCAAACGCAGACAACCAAAATCCAACACGCTCAACATATTAAAGTCCCGAACTCTGAAACCTAGTCGAGGATCTGCCAATATTCAACAATGTCCCTCCAGACCCCCCGCATCCTCCCCTCCCACCTCCACGCCTTCCACCCCTCCAGCTCTAGCTCAAACACCGTCCGCGTACTCGGCACCGTCACCGCGCTCCACGGGGGCACCGGCACACTCACCTGCGGCAACAATGGCGATATCACTCTGATCTTGAAGTCTGATGCGCGCTTGCAAGTCGGCAAGCTGGTTGAGATTGTGGGGAAAGTGGCTGATCTAGAGGGTGGACAGGTATGTTCACCATTGGTTGGAAGGACATGTCCTTGATATCGAGGATCTGGGCTTTCATGGATATTGAGAGTATAGTGGATAGCTAATGCTTTGGGGATTATAGGGATACGGAATCCGTGTATTGGGATCGACGGAGTGGGGTGACCCAGCTGATTGCGGTATGTGTTGAATGCTTTGCCTGAGATAAATTGGACCAGAGACTTACTTTATGTTTGTGGTTATAGATTATAAGATCTATGAGAATGTTGTCAATGCGACACATAAATTCAAGACTATCTTCTACGAGTGATGGGTCATGAGTTGAGGGATTTGAATAGAATATATGGCCGTTTTTCTGAAGGGTGTCCCGTCCCGGGTCTGATATGCCTGGAATCAAGCGGACAGGTTAGCCTGGTCGATGTGACATTATCAGGGCCCTCGACTACAGCCTATGGAGCAAATCTGTTTTAACGGGCCTGGGATGACGATTCTGTCACTATGATTCTCCCTTTGTGATTCCCCGGTTTTTGCGTTTTACATATGAGGTTATGATCAAAGCTTCCCCAATCAAGATTTTACATTGAGCTGGAATTATCAAGTACTAAAGGTGGAATCAATATGCTTGGGTGACTAGCTCTACAGAGAATATCCATGATCATTTAAGTGACTAGCTCTACAATGAAGGAGGATGTAATTAAACCCCCCCAATGTATTCCGTGAGACTCGCCAAGTGACTATGGAACCCCAAAAGCTCAGTCACTCGTCAAAGAACTCGCACGAGAAAGCCCGGTTTGATTTGGGTGCCGAACTGCATGGGCCTCAACAACTTGGTCATGTTGATGTCTTCATGCATGGGACACCCATGGGACCCTCCCCCAACGCTGTCTCATGGGGGCTACGGAGAGATGGTGGTCGAGAGGGCTGAGAGAAAGAAAGGAAGAAGAAGAGAAGAGAAAGAAAGGTGGGAGGGGTCCTTTTATATTGTCACATCCCGCGTACCTTCCCAAAATGGATGGTCGTTTGCTCTTGCCTTTTTACCTATCAGGGTCACGAGACACAACTACACGTAACTTGGTTTGATACTCATTGACCGAGACTACAAGCCAGAATATGGTTATTGTGATTTTTTGATTTGATTTAGTATTTCGTGCTATCATAAAAGCTACATAGGAAAGGCCCCTAACAAAGATCACCGCTTCCACTTCAGGGGAATGAACCACCAAAGGGTACAGCAAAGACAGTATCGGAGTCCTGTTTCAAGGTATTCCAGGTCATCAGTTTGAACAAATAAGAAAAGGCCGTAAATCTCAAGGTGTAAGTCAGGATCCGTTGGCTGTATGCAACGAGATCAACCCATAAACCGAACGCCGTCGCTAAAAAAACAGCAAAATAAAAAATAAAAAAGCAAAGATGATGGAGTTGCTATGTCGGAAAGACGTGCATGGAGTCGCTCCCGGATTTAGACAAGGGAGATGGCCTATTGGCCTTCGGGTTCTTCACCAGCGGGCTGGCTCTTGGGTACATCGGTGGTGAGAGCATCCGAGCTGAAGAACCCGGAGTCGGGAATGCCAACGTCATTGAAGTTGAAGGGGAGGAGATCGGGGTTGAAGTTGTCTTTCTCATTGGGGTTGTCTGAGAAGAGAGCGTTGAGAAGTTCATTGGCAGGAGTTTCACAAGATACAGCAGGAGAAACGTAGTCCGCTGGAAGCCACTCGGCCCAATTTTCACCGGCAAATTTGCTGTTCTCCATTTCGAAGAAAGCATCAGCCTTGTCGGCGTCATCGAAGATGTCGAGCATCATGCCATCAAGGCTCTCGAAGGATTGCGGCATGCTGTCATTCGCAGGCTGTGGTGCCAAAGTAGCCGGAGACTTCTGCTGCCGTGGGGATGACTGAGGACTTCCGTGAATCGATTGGATACGCTGTAGGCGCTCTGCGGACAATCTAGCGGGAGACATAACCGAGCCTAGATCCTTGCGTTTGTTGAGGCTTGGGGAGTTTGCGGGGAAAGACAAACGCTTGTCAATCGCGTTGATCCGCGGGTTCCGTCGACGAGGCGTAGGGCTTGCTGAATCAAATCCAATGGAGGGACTTTCGAACAGATCATCGAGGTCATTACCTGGGGTGGGTACAAGATTTTCCTTCTGCTGTCCGAGCTTTTCATCCTTTGTAGAGGCAATGCGAGGGCTGCGACGTGGAGAGCAGCTGTTCACCATAGAAGAATCAAGCTCCTTTAAAGGCCCATCAACCTGGGGATTCTGGAAAAGTGACCTCCTCAAAGGCTTAGGTGTGAGACTGTTTGGATCTGTCATTGGAGCAGAGCGGGCATGTGCACGGCTCCCTGGGCTAGACTTAGTGGCCCGCGCCAAGACCTCTCTGGCGTCTTCCTTGGACCAACGGCGTCCTGGGGTATCGAACGTCGCTTCCGGCTCGGTACTGGTGGCCCGAGGAGACTCATTGGGAGAATAATCCCCTTCACCGTCCTGATCATCGTCATCGTCATTGTCCATTTGGGGGGTCTCCCCATCAGGATGGACGGAAGACGCTTCAGTGGGTGCTGGAGAGGAAGCTGAAGCTTTCTTCGGCGCGGCCTTGCTTCGAGTTCTGGCAGCAGGGCAGGACTTGACCTGGCCGTCTCTGTTCCTCGAAGGACGCTTTTTGTTGTTCTTTTTGTTGGCCGGCTTCGCTGCTCCTGGCTTGGTCCATTTGTCTTCCGGGCGCATTTGTTTGAATTTGTGGAGCCACAACCCACAAGGATTGCAGAAGGTCATTTGATCCCAATCATTATCGTCCTGCTCGAGAGCCTTTTTGTAAATCTTAAACCCTTGGACTTCACCCTTGTCGTTTCGGTCCACGGCCTCCCAATAGAGCATAGGAGAGGACTTCATCATCTCTTCTGCAAGGGTCTCGCCGCCCTTTACCGTTTTCACCCACGCTCGCCGCCAGCTGGCGGTTTCGATGGAGCCACAATTCTCACAATACGGTGGAATTAGCCCGTTCAGAATAGCATTGTCCAAGCGTGCCTTTATGTTCTTTGGCACCGCCTTGGACCCTTGCTTCGGCATTGACTTTGGCTTTGAAGGTTGTTTCGACTGCTTGGAATTGGAACTAGCTGTCTCACACGGCATGAAAGTGACATCCACAGGCCCAATAGCACGAGGAATAATGGGATCGCTAGCGGGGATTGCGCGGAACATTTGGGGAACTTCATTGTGGAAGATTTGGGGCGCTGGCGCGAGGGGCTTTGGCGCCAAACGTTGTGCGCCAGAGCTCGAAGAAGGTCTCGATGTGGTAGCTGTGGGCGGACGGGATGTAGGACGGGACTGAGTGGAGTGAGAAGGGGGAGCACGAGATATCGGACGCGGCGCCTGCTTTACAAGCTGCTCCGTTGGATTATCATCGACCGGCAGAGGATCATTGTTGGTTCCCTGGGCAGCACTGACAATGCTGCCTGGAGAGTGTGCCTGCACGGTAGCGCGAACAGAGCACTTGTCTCGAGTTATCCCACGAGACAATTCCATTCTAGGGTCATCTAGGGGAATAACGGTGTCATCGTCCATGATTTCATCCGGTCCTGCACTCATAAAGCCGGAGTCGTGGTCCAGAGACATGGTGGGCAAAACAGGGCTTGATCGATTTGGTAACCGGCTATCGAAAACTGGGGGTGATGACGGCATGTTGAAAGACGGCTCAAAGAGACCTTGGTAGCGAGTATCTTCAGGAGAGGGACCGCCAACGTCTGTAGCGGGGACGTCATCGCTCATACAGTATGGAGAATTGTACGAAGCAGGACACGAGGCAATGCTCATGCTCGACGACTCCCGCAACAAGCTGCCCGTGGGTCGGCTTCGACGGGTGAAGTCAGACGGTCGAGATATGGGGGTAGGTGGACGAACAGGCTCTTCGTGAGAATGCTCGACCGCGAGAGCAGGATTCACGGGGGTTGGGCGGTGGATCCGTACAGAGGCCGCCGTACTGGCTGCAACTCGAAGCGAACTTGGTTGTCTTTCGATGTTCATACCTGACTTTCCAGGCCAGTTTGCTTGATACAACTTGGCCCTCTTCCGGGCTGGGGCCTCCGTTGATTCTTCATCACCACTGCCGTATCCTGACTGAATGGACCCTCTTCGAAGGTTGTTCTGTGAGACGTGTGAGAGTTGGGTCTGGTTGTCGCAGTCCCGCATAGAAGCACTTGAGGACGGGCGAATCATATCACTATGGGGGATGCTTTGTTTAGTGTAAGATTG